AAATTTATTTTTTAAAAAAAAAAAAAAAAAAAAAAAAAAAAAAAAGAAAAAATGAAATATTATGTCATGATTATTATTATATTAATACAAAATTAAAAATAAATATGTTTTAAAAGTATAATGTCAATTGTTCAGTAAATTTTTTATTTTTTTAATATCTTATATTCAATTAGAATTAATTATTTTTTGAAAATTTTGCACTTACATTTTTTAAACACTATACATATTTTTTATTTCTTCATATATAGCATAATATTTAAATGAAAAAAATGTTATTAAATTTTTAATTATTTATATATATCTGTTTTTCTTCTTTTTTTAAAGAAGTTAATATAAAAATTCTATTAGGCAATATAAAAAAAGGTTTTAAAGAATAGTTTATCAAAGAAATATTATAAATAAATCGTTACTTATTATTCAATCTTTATACTTTTATTAATAATGAAGTTTTTAAAAAGTATGTATAATTAATGATTTTTTTTATTAAAAATGTTATTTTCCCTTAATTTTCAATATCTTTTTTTTTATTAAATACATAACATTAACAAGCTGTGTAGCTTATATAACCCATAAAAAAAATATTAAAAAAACATATAAAGAATGAAAATTTTCATTATTATAAATCCTATTAAAGTTATAAAGTATGCTTTATATTGTGTTAGGAATGTAAAATATTTAGCATATTATTTGATACTTTCCTTAATTTTGGTTTTATTTCATTAGAAAAAAAAAATAAAATGTCATGTTTATATAAAATAATATAAAAACTATTTTCTCTTTTCTAATTTAAAATAAATGATTATAGAAATATCATACTTGAAATTTTACGCAAAAAAAAATTAATATTTTATATTAAAAATTTGAATGTAACTTTAAACAATTTAAATGTTGTTGAAAAAAGGAAAATACCTAAAAAGTTAATTTTATTTTATTTTTTTTTTTTCATATTTTCATTTATTAATATATATGTTATATAAAATACTTTGAATATGGGTACAACTTTTTGTTTATATAATAAATAAAGAATATATATGTATATATGTGAATGTACATATTCAAAAATGTAACTATTTTATATGTGTAAAAACTATTGTAATTTTAATGAAATAATCTTAAATTTATTAATTAAAAATAAAAACATAGAATGTGTAAATTTAAATGCTATTAGCAAAACTTATATTTTTAAAATAATGCAAAATATTTACGAGATAGATGAATGAAAAAAAAATTCTTACAATCATAATACAAATTGGTATATAAAAATTAAAATAAATACATGAAATTGTTTAATAAATAATTTCTCTAGTTTTATAACTTTAAAAATAGTTAACTACAGATATATATATATATACACACAAAAATATTTTATCCTAAAAATGTTTAAGTACAAATGTATTACCACTTAAAATTAAGCATAAAAGTTATATATGTGTATATAGTTCTCTTTTAATGTAATTTAAATTTTGTTAAAGGAAATTTTAAAGTTATAGAAAATGAAACAATTTATATTTTTATATGAGAAAAATAATGAGCTATCAAATAAAAAAAAGTATTGCATTAATTAGTACAAATATTTAAAAGGCTAACTTATAATACATTAAAATATTTTAATTCAAAATTAAATCTGAAAAAATATTTTAAAAAATACTTTCAATTTATAGTTTATTAATCTGCATGAAAATATAAAAATTTTTTCATAAAATTAAAAAACTTGGAATATTATATAAACATTTATGTAAATATATATATTATAAGCAATAACATATATACATATAAATGTTATATACGTATATATATATACATATATATATATATATATATTATATATATATATATATTTTTTTTTTTTTTTTTTTTTTTTTTTTTGTACAGCAAAATTTTTTTTTTAAATATAAAAATAAATATATTTTCAATTATTTTTTTTTTTGTTTTAAAATTTACTATATATTAAATATATATGAATATTTTTATTTTATTTAAAAATACTTATATTAATAGCTTTATTTTTTTAATTTAAATAATTATGAAAAAGAAAAAAAAAATTTTATTACGCACAATTAATATTGCATAGCTTTATTTTTTTATACTTTATATATTTTGAATTATATTTCTTAAAATAATTTTTTTTATCACATATATATATTTTCTATATATATTTATGTATAATAATATAAGTTTTTTATATATTTATTTAAGATTTTAATAATAAAATGGAACAAATAAATATAGATCAAATGAACCCTGAAAAGGGTAAAAATGATGGAGGAAATTTTAAAGTTCAAGTTGATGATATTAATAATATTGATAAAGAATTTAGTGATCTACAGAAATTAAAAGTAATATAAAATTTTAAAACGAGTTATTTTTTTGACTATTTTAATTACATACATATATACATTATTACAAACTTTTTATATAATTTTTTTTTTTTCTTTTTTTTTTTTATATTTGTATATATTTGGGCATATTATTTTTATTTATACAAAAAAGTGTATCTTAATATCCTTTAATATGTTATTTGATTTTTATTTATACAATAAACTTTTATTTCTTTTTTTTTTTTTATAATTGCTTATATTATAAAATATATATATATATATATATATATATGTATTTATTTATGAATTAAAATATATTGTATTATTTTTTTTTTCTTTTATTAAAGATGATGAATGAAGGTGCTGAAATGCAGATGAACCAAAACTCAACTCTTGACTCACATGAAATGGAACAAGAAGAAATAAACAACAGATCAATTTTTGTTGGAAATGTAAATGATATTAAAAATAAAATTAAATTTTTTAAATTATTCATTTTAGTTATTTTCATTTAATATTACACTTTTAAATAATTGTATATACACATAAATTTTATTTATTTCATCAAAATTTTTTATTAATTCATTTATATATATATATTTTTTTTTTATTTAAAAATAGGTTGATTATTCAACACAACCTGAAGAACTACAATCATTATTTTCAGAATGTGGTTTAATAAATAGAGTAACAATTTTAGTAAATAAAAATACTGGTCATTCTAAAGGGTTAAATACTTTTTACATTCCTCTTTTTAATTAATTTTTTAAAGAAATTTATATAAAAATTATGTACATATCTTTTTATTTTAATTATTTATTCCTTTCCAGATATGCATACATTGAATTTGCTGATGCATCTTCTGTTCGAACCGCTTTATCTTTATCTGAATCATTTTTCAAAAAAAGACAAATTAAGGTATATATATAAAAGCTCAATGATAAATAAATAATAAAATATTTTTCTTGTTGTATATATACATAAATGAAATTTAAAAAATAAATTTTTTAAATATAGGTTTGTAGTAAGAGAAGAAATATACCAGGATTTAACCGCCCTAAAATTAATGCATATAGAGGTCGAGCAATGAAAACTACTTTAAATACAAGAGGAAGGTATATATATTTAAAAAAATAAAAATGAATTGAAAGGAAATAAAGGAAAAAAATAAGAAAATGATATTTGTTATATTTTATAATTATAAATTACTGAAGATCTAAATATTATATATATATGTATATGTTTGTATAATTTTTTTTTTCTTAGACTTAGACAACCTACATTTAGACCCTTTTATAGAGGAAGAGGCGTTTATAAAAAAATTATTACAAATCCATATGAAAGGACCTAAATTAGTGATGCGAGCGTTTATATATAATTTTTTTTTACTGTTTTTTTTTTTTTTTTTATATAATATTTTTACATCTTTTTTTTTTTTTAAGTATGCAAAATCCATTTAGCACTTTAAAAAAAAAGAAAAAATAATAAAATAAAAAATATCAATTTCAATATTTCCATCCTATTAAAGATTTTATAAATATGTGTCTAAATTTTTTTCTTTAAATATTTTTCTAGATTTGAGTTTTATTATTTAAATGTTTATTCCTTTTCATTATTGTTATTAGAATTTTTTTTTCACATACAAATATTATACATTGATATATTATACAGAATATAGAAATATGCGTTATTGTTTTCAATATTTTTTTTATTTATGTTTCATGTAAATGATTTTTATTTTTTATTTTCTTTACATAAATTTAAAAAAACGAAAAGTATATATAATATTTCATTTTGTATATGAATATGTATTCTGTGAATTTTGAAGTAATAAAATTATTTTTGCATCAATATATTTTTTTAATCATCTATTATTAAATGTTGCACTTTTCCAATTTTCTCTTTTTCATTTCTTTTATTTACATATCATATTTTATTATTAAACGTTAAAAGAAAAAGGGTATATTTTTACTTTTTTATATATTATATTTTTATTTATTGAAGTTTTAAAAAAAATTTAATATCCCTTATTTAGAAAAAAAAAAAAAAAAAAAAAAAAAAAAAAAAAAAAAAAAAAAAAAAAAAAAAAGAAAAAAAAAGAGAAAAAAAAATTGTTAAAGATTAAAAGATATTGTCTTAAATGATTAATTAGAAAAAATCTTAAAAATAAGAATAAAAGTAAAAATAAGAAATAAAAAATAAATGTAAAAATAAAAATAAAAAATGTAAAAATAAAAATAAAAATAAAAGAAATGTTAAATTAAATATATTTATGCATGTATATTTAATTTTTTTTTAATGTCATTTGTCAAAATAATTAGGTTAATGTTTTTTATTTTTTTTTAATTTTTAAACGTTTTTCATAATTTATTATTGTTTATTCAAAAACGTTTCTTTAAGTAATTAAAATTTTTTTTTTTTTTTTTTTTTTTTTGGTATTAAAACTTTGGTAAAATTTTTAATATGTTTTATACATTATATTTCATTGATGTATTGATGAATTTACCTTTTAAATATCAAGACAAATTTATTATAAAAAACAAATAAACTTTTAGGTCTAAATATTGACAAATTTATTATTTTGCATAAAAAAAAAAAAAAAATAAGTATATGATATAAAAAAAAATTAACCATATTTACTTAAAATTTGTATGATCTTGCTGAATAACATCTAAAACTTTATTTAATTATATCATTAATAAAAGAAATTTTCAAAATAAAAAAAAATCAGCACATTTAATAGAAATTATAGAAGGAAAAATAGTTATATTCTCATTTTGAGATTAGTAAAAGAATGTTCCATATAATTTTATTATTTTTCAAATAACTAATAAAAAATAATTCTTTTAAATAAACTTCCTTTTATTTTTATTTTTTTTTACATTTACTGTGTCTATATCTAAAAAAAAGCAATAAAAAGAAAAATTTTGGGGTAACTTTAAAATATCATAGGTTAACTTTAAAAGTAATGAATTTATTTTTATGATTTATATGAAGGAAATATATAATTAAAAAGGTGTATAAAATTTTTTAATATAAAAAAAAAATATATATATTTTAAAAAAAATGATTTAATAAATAAACTATTTAAATACTATTTTTTTTTACACTTTTTCAACAATTAATAATAATTAAAATTAATATTATAATAAAAAAAATAAAATTTTTAAGCACTAGAAATATTAATGATATTTAAATAATAAGCATTAACAAAAGCAAAAGTAAAAAAAAAAAAAAAAAAAAAAAAATTTAGAAAAAAAAAAAAAAAAAAAAAAAAAAAAAAAAAAAAAAAAAAAAAAAAAAAAAAATTTAGTGAAGAAAAAAAAAAAAAAGGGAATACCAAAAAGAGAGAAAAAGCACAGTAATTATTTAAGGAATAAAATATTAAAAAGTAATTGGAGAAAATAATAAAAATTAATAGTAGAAGCATATGTATATATAAAATTCAGAACATATTACTTTTTTTTTTAATAACATTTATATTTAACATTTTGTGTTTTTTTATTCCTTGTTTAAAGTGTAAAAAAATTATGAGCAATGCATTATTTAAGTTAAGAAAATCATCTGTCAAATATTTACAAAATTATCAATATCATTTTACAAGGAATATAAGCAATAATTTTGGCTATAAAATCCTTTTTTTTAAAAAATCTTTTTTTACAAATACTGTAAGCAATAATCTTAACAAGAATAAGATAGTTTTAAATAATATATTATATAAAAAACGTAATTTAAATAAACCTACAGAGACAATGTGTAGCTATCAAAACCAAGAAAAAAAACATGAACATGTTAATATAACTGGCGATAAGTTTCGAAATAGTGAACAGGTACACGTAGAAAATGGAATAAATGAAAAAAGTTATGATTATGATTACATAGTTATTGGAGGAGGACCTGGAGGAATGGCTTCAGCTAAAGAAGCTGCAGCAAATGGTGCGAAAGTTTTATTATTTGATTTTGTTAAACCAAGTATCCAAGGAACAAAATGGGGTATTGGAGGAACGTGTGTAAATGTTGGATGTGTTCCTAAAAAATTAATGCACTATGCAGGAAATATGGGATGTTTATTTAACTTAGATTCAAATGAGTATGGATGGAAATTTGATAATTTAAAACATGATTGGAACAAATTAGTTACTACTGTTCAGTCTCATATACGCTCATTAAACTTTAGTTATATGACTAGTTTAAGATCTGCAAAAGTTAAATATATAAATGGATTAGCTAAATTAAAAAATGAAAACACAGTATCATACTATTTAAAAGGAGACCTTTCAAAAGAAGAAACTGTTACAGGAAAATATATTTTAATTGCAACTGGATGTAGACCTTATATTCCAGAAGATGTTGAAGGAGCAAAAGAATTGAGCATTACATCAGATGATATTTTTTCATTAAAAAGAGATCCAGGAAAAACATTAGTGGTTGGTGCATCTTATGTAGCTTTAGAATGTGCAGGATTTCTTAATTCTTTAGGATATGACGTAAGTGTCTCAGTACGTTCTATAGTTTTGAGGGGTTTCGATCAGCAATGTGCAAACAAAGTTAAAACATACATGGAAGAACAGGGAGTTGTATTTTTAAATGTATTACCAAAGAAGTTAACAAAACAGAACGAAAAAATATTAGTGGAATTTAGTAACCAAACTAAAGAATTATATGATACCGTCTTATATGCCACTGGAAGAAAAGGTGATACAAAACATTTGAATTTAGAAGGGATAAACATCAATATAAATAAAAATAATAATAAAATTATTGCAAATAATTTTAGTTGTACAAATATACCTAATATATTTGCTGTTGGGGATGTTGTTGAAAATATTCCAGAATTAGCTCCTGTAGCTATAAAAGCAGGAGAAATCTTAGCTAGACGTTTATTTAAGCAGTCCGATGAAATAATGGATTATTCATATATTCCAACATCTATTTATACCCCCATTGAATATGGTTCATGTGGATATTCAGAAGAAAAAGCATACGAAATATTCGGTAAATCAAATGTTGAAGTGTTTTTACAAGAATTCAATAATTTAGAAATATCAGCTGTTCATAGAAAAAAGCACTCTAAAGTTAGAAAAGACGAATATGATATAGATATATCTAGTACATGTTTTGCTAAGCTTGTTTGTCTAAAAAATGAAGATAATAGAGTTATAGGGTTCCATTATGTTGGTCCTAATGCAGGTGAAGTAACGCAAGGAATGGCATTGGCTTTAAAATTAAAAGCCAAAAAAAAAGATTTTGATAATTGCATTGGTATACACCCAACAGATGCTGAATCTTTTATGAATTTACATATTACTTTATCATCTGGATTATCTTATGCAGCCAAAGGTGGATGTGGTGGTGGAAAATGTGGTTAAATATACAAATAATAAAATTTTTTTTTTTTTATTTTTAATTAAATTATGTACTTAATGATATACTAATATCTGTTTTCTTTATTATAATAATAAAATATATATATATAATACTCTATATATATATAATTTTTTTATTATTTATAAAATTTATTATTTAATTTTTTTTCAAAGATAATATTATATAATTTTAACTAAAATGTATAATTAAGTATAAAAATTTTTTTTGTTAGATATATTTTTTAAAAAAAATTTCAAATACATAAAAAATTATGTTATTAGAAATATAGAATTATCAAAACTCCTTTTTGAAATAAAAAATATATTGTATTATTATGTCACTTATTATCTCTATATAATTTACAATAAACTTTTACATATTTCATTTCTTTTGAATTATTATATTAAAAATTCGATTATCCACATTTCTTTTTTTTTCTTATTATATATCTAAAAATAGGGAATAATAAATTTTTTATCTACTCAGGTATAAAATTAAAAAAGGTATTTTATGTTTAGTAATTATTTAGTTATAAAATTATAATTTGAAAATAAAGTATTCTCCACTTAATGAATTATATTAAGTTATTTTAAAAATAAGATTATAAATAAATACAGTATTGTTATGTAAAAAAAAAAATTAACATAGATTTTTTATAACTATCTTCAAAATATTTTTATTTAAATAATATTTATAATAATCTTTATGTGTGCATTAAATAAATACTAAATTATTTTAAAAACATGAAATAAATATCATAAAAGTAAATTGAAATTATAAAAATATAGATATATTTATTATGTGAAGTAAAAAAGTAAGCTAGATATACCTTACATAACAAAAATAAATATAGATAAGAGTCATTAGAAAAGTAATAATAAAAAATATATTTATTATATTTATTTATTAATTTATTTTTTTTTTTTTTTCCTTCTTATTCATTTTTTTTTTATTTTATTTGTGTATTTATTTTTTTTAAAATGGTTTTAATACATGTAAAATCAGTAGAAGACAGTCATCAATTTTTATATGAAACAAATGTAAATGTTTTAATTAAGAATTTAAAGGAAGACTTAGTTAATATACACAACCTTAGATGTAAAATTTTGAAACTTTTAGAGGCATCATTGGATTTAGCAAATCATGGTCCTATGAGACCAGAAGAATTAAGAGGACTATCAGAAGATGTAAAAAAAAAAAAAAAAGAAAAAAAAATTGCCTAATATAGTTATAAAGTATTTAAGAAAATAATTTCTACTTTTTTTCATTTTAATTTTTATCATTATTAAAGTATTTTGTGTGCATCTTAAATAAAACAAAATAAATACATATAATTATATGATAGTTTTTAAATTACATAAATATTTTAATTTAATATTTTTAATTAAATAAATCATAAGGAATTAAAAATATCTAAATTAAATATTTATGAATGGAAGGAAGCAACTAATCCTGATAAATACAATTTTAGAACCGGAATACCACCACCAAGTGATGGTGCAATAAAATTAAAAAATATAGTTGATAAAGTAAAAAAGGAATTATCTATTGAAAAAGTAAAAACAAAAAAGGATTATTTTGATTCATATCTAGACAATTGTAATAAATATATTCATTTTTTATTTAGTTATTATAATTTTTTATTTTTATAACTTTTAATAGATTGAACAAAATAAACCGATCAATACAAATAATTTGTACGAACATTTAAATATGATAACTGAAGCTTTAAATATATGCTATCCTTCCATGGAAAAATTACCTCCATATGATCCTACAAGAATATTAATAGAAAAAGATAATTTTTTTAATGATGTATGAAAAAAAAAAAAAAAAAAAAAAAATAGTTTAGATCTAAATAAAATATAAAATTATATCAATTTATAAAAATTATATATATATTGTGGAATGAAAATTATGTTACTCAATAGTCGTTTGTTTTATGATTTTTTTATCTTTTTCTTTTGTTTCAAGGAATTTATAAGTAATGAAACTTCTTTATGGTGGGCAGGAAAGGAATTATCAGAAGAATTGTATTTAAAAAATATAATAGGTAAAAATGAAAAAACAAAAATTATTGTAAGAGTACAACCAAAAAAGTTAGGGCCACCAATAAGAGAAGCGAGAATAGATAGCGAAACTTATAAAGCTATGTTAGCTTATTATCATAAAAAGCAAAAGGAAGAAAAAGAATTTGAGGAAGACGATGACGATTCTTATTTAAATTCTGAATGGGCAAACCCATTAAGTTTACAAAAACAGTTACATGGGAATTTGAATAATATTAAATGGAAACCTTAGTATTTCAATTTTTTTTTTTTAATAATAAGAAAAAAGGATAATATATAAAACAAATATATTTATATACATATAATAAAATATAAATTTATAACTACATATAACAATACAGGAATTATCAATAAAAAAAAAAAAAAAAAAAAAAAAAAAAAAAAAAAAAAAAAAAAAAAAAAAAATACAGAGAAAATACAGAGAAAAGAATTTATAAAAACAAATGAATGCTTCAATTTTAATAGAAAATATTTTCTTGGTAACTAATATTTATTATAAAAAAATATATTAAATTTGATGAGATAGTGTTTTTTTTTTTTTTTTTTTTAATACTAAAAAGGTAAAAATATTTTTAATTTTTTTCTTTTATCATATATGCACTAACAATTTACCAAGAAAAAAGGATTTCTTAAATACCAAATAGTTCACTTAAAAATTAATAATAATGTATAAAATTATAAAAATATTAAAATTAAAAAAATGATTGTTTATTAAAAAAATTAATATACATGAATATTTAGTGGAAAAGAACTTTTCCTAAACAAATTATACGGAAGAATAATATTGAAAATATACCAACATACATAAAATGATGAATTTCTTTGCTTTATAATTTACTTTCTTAATATATTTTTACAACTATTTTCAGTCAAAATAAAGGATGGTATTTTATAGTAAGTATCGGAAACTCTATTACCTTCTACATCTAAAAAATATGTTGATCTTAAGTTATTTGTATATATGTTATTGTTATATAAAAGAAAAAGTTCCCTTAATGAACTAAAATCAGTATAATATAAATTATCAAAGAACTGAAAATCAGATGAATTATCAATCATATTTATGTTTATTTTGTTAAAAAACCAAAAATCATCTTGTTCATTACTATTTTTTATGTCTACTATTTTCCTTATATGACAAATTAATTTTTTTATAAATGAATCCGGAGTTTTTATACATTTTTGTAAACATGATTTAAGGGATTCAATAAAATCATAATGATTTCTTTTGTTCCTATAAGCTGGTTGTTTTAATGGGTTTAATAAAATATTCTTCATTTCATTATGATTACAAGACCATATAAAAGAAGTATGATGAACAAAATAATTTTTAGAAAAAGCTTGTGCATTCCCACCAACTTTTTTTAAATTTATTTCTTTTCTTTTCTCATCATAAATTTTACATACATAATCATTTTCAAGATAACCAAAATTTTCGCTAAAAAGCGAATTTTTTTTTTGGTTTAGAAACATTCCATAAAATGAATTAAATGACCATTCTGTTACATTAGATGGATATATATTTAATAATTTACAAAAATTATGAGGAAGAATTAATGAAACTAAAAGACAATTTCTGTTAATATAAACTGTTCCCCCTCCTGTAAATCTTTTAATTAAACATATTTTATTTTCTTTAATATAATTTACATCTTTTATATGATCATCTATTTTACCACTAATTCCTAATATAACAGATTTATCATAATAATTTTTGTTTTCTTCTATTTCATTAATTGTATTATTTACTACTACGAAACCTACATTATTTAATCCTTCACTTAAAAAACTACTTAACCTATATAAACTTTCTTCCAATAATAACTGTTCATATACATGAAATTTAGTTAGGTTAATAAAATACAATACATTTTTCTTTACAATATTTTTATTTACATTTGGTAATAATGGCCGAAATATTTCTTTTATGTTCTTTATTTTAGTCATAATACACTAATTTCTTAAAACTAAAGTTAATATATATAATATCATTTAAACATATATATTTTCAAATTTAATCAATATATAATATATATAACCTCCCAGTAATAATTTTTCTTTTTTTATTTGTAAAATTTAGAGGATATTTTTAAATTAAATCAATGAATCAAGTGTAATTGTCATAATAATTCACCACCATTTTCATTTTTTTTTTTTTTTTTTTTTTTTTTATAGCTAGAATGTATTCAATATACATTATTTATTTCATTTTCATTTATAGAAAGTAAATAAACCATATAATTTTTAAAAAAATTTTCATATGTAAACAATTAACAAAATAAGAAGTAGCATACTCTTTCCTTAATTTTTTTGTTTTTATAACATATACAAATAATATATATTAATTATTTTTTTTTTTATAACTTTTTCTTATTTATAAATTAATTTATAAAATTTATTATGTAAAAAAATAAAATATATATATATATATATATAAATTTAAATGAAAATATTTTTTTATATATATTAACATTTTTTTTTTTTCTTAATTCGATCATAAATAAATAACCCATTTATGCCTCATATTTTTAACATTCTTTTTTTGTTCCTTAGTTTAGATAGAACTTTTTATGAAAAACTAAAAAATAAATATTTAATTTTATTGACTTTTGTTTAAAGTGTTGTAGCATTAAAGAAAAATATATAAATGACTATGTATATCAATAGATAAAATTGTATAACCAAATTTAAAACTTATAACTAAATCATATTTTTAAAAAATTTAAAATGAGAAAAAAAAAATACTAAAAAATAAAAAAAATACATAATGATACATTTATAAATGAGTATAAATATTCCTTATTCTTTTATAAGAAAAATATATACACACACACACACAAAAAAAAAAAAAAAAAAAAAAAAAAAAAAAAAAAATTTTTAATGTTATCTAATAAATGAACTAAAAAAAAAACAAAAAAAAAAAAAAAATTAAAAACCACTTAAAAATAACAAAAAAAGTTTAATTACTATGCATATTAATAGACATTTTTAATTTATCTTCAGAAGTTAGAACTTTTCTTAAAATTAGTTCTCTTATCTTTCCATCGTAAATCATAAAATGTTTCCATCCTTTTCCAATATCTATTTGTAATTCATTAACTATACAATGTTCAGTTAAAAAAGAATTTGTTTTTCTCACTTTATTTTCGGCATACTGTCTTACACCATCACTTAAAATTATATGACGATATACATATTTATCATCTCTATATATGGCAGAATAACAAACTGGGCCTATTAAATATTCAGAAGAGTAAAATAAAAATACATGAAAAATTATATTTTAAAAATAAATATTTAAATGTTGATAAATTATATACCTCTAGAAGTAATTTTATAAGTGTAATTTTCACTTGATGATCTTATAAATTCTAAATTTAAATTTTCATCCATGCTATCTTTAACTGATCTGAATTTTGGTGTTTCCGATTTTGCTAATTCTTCCAGTATTGAATAGTAATTGTCATTATTATTATTATAATTTGATTGATTTAACGATGCTCTATTTGATTTATTCATATTTAAGATCTTTTTTTTTTTTTTTTTTTTGCCTTTTTCCTTTATTATTTATTTTTATTTTATTTTATTTTTTTTTTTCACTATATTGCATCTTAGTAAAAAAAGATAATTCTTTTTTATTATTACAAAATAAATATACTCTGTAAAAAAAATTCTTGATTTCTTAAAACCCTTTATTTATTCTAATTTAAAACTTTTTAAAAATATATTTCAACAAATGCAAGTCTTATATTTATAAAACATCAGATAATATAATTCAATCATATTATTATGCAAATATAATAGTAAATTTTAATATGTGCACATAAGTCAAGAAATAATAAATTTTCACAATTTATTCATGTCTTATTTTTATTCTAAATTATTAACCATTTTATATTTAACTAATAAAAAATATATGTATATGAAAACATATTTATAAAAGAAAATTTTTCATTTTAACTTACAAAAAAAAAAAAAAAAATATAAAATATATATATAGATATGATAATATTGATATTTAATCATATACACTCATATATAAACATGATGTGTATAAAACAATTTGATTTAAGCAAATACATATATATTTTCAGAAATGTTTATTAAAATGAAATTATTTCATAAAATACTATTTCACTTATTTTTTTTTTTTTTTTTTTCTGTATTATTAAATTCTTAATTTTTTTAAAAGCTTATTATAAATTATTTGTTAACGAAAATTTATATTGTAACTATTAAGAAATTAAATATATATGTATATTTTCTTTTTTTCTTTTTGTTACAATAAAATATGTAAATCTAAAATATAATAGAATATTTTAGAATTAATTTATGTAAATTATATATATATATATATATATATTAAAAAAAGTTTATTCTTTGAAAATGATATATTTTAAGGTATTTTTTTTTAATTCATAATAATTCAAATATTTAATAAAGAATGAAAAATACATATTATATTTATGTCATTTCCATTTCAGAAAATTTTTTATTTATAAATTTTTAATGTAAAATATATAAATGTAAAAATATATTGTAAATATATATGTGTGCTTTAAAAGAAAAAAGTCATGAAGTATATAGTGGTTTTTTAAAAAAAAAGTTTTAAAAACGTGCATTAACATATATCAAATAGAAATGTATATTTAAACGGTAGATTTTCATTTTGAAATTTGAATTGCATGCTAAATAAATAGAAATTTTATTTAAAATAATAAAAAAAATTGCATTTTCATAAAATTTTGATAAAATTTTGAAATATTTTGAAATATATTTAAATATAAAATGTCTAATTTACCTGTTATTTCAGTAAAAGACAGTATTTTTATGTTCTTAATAGTAGAACTAAAAATAATACAAGAATTAGGTAAAGATGTAATAATTATTCTTTATATGACAATTAAGGATTTATTTTACATTTACAAATTACAAAAAATAGCATTAATAACTATTATAACAAGATCATATATGTTTTTTTTTTTTAAAAAATAAAAAATATGGAACATTAATGCTTTTTTTTTTTGTTTATTTTATAATAAAAAAAAATTTTTTATTGATAAATATCAGAAAAAATTATTAAAAGAATTAAATATATTTTTTCTGATTCACAGTCTTAATTTAGTTTATGTATTTTATGCTATAAATATATATATGCATTAAACAAAAAAAAAAAAAAAAAAAAAAAAATAGTTTGTATAAATTTATAAATAGAAAATAATATTATTTTTTATTTTTTTACTTATATATACATGCAAAAAGAACTCGTATTTAAATAAAAAATACAAAACTATTAAAATATATATATATATTTCTTTATTATTCTAAGCTAAAATTGTTTAATTATATTTTTCTTTTTTGCATATTACTATTACTTTTTTTTTTAAAATGTGTAATATATTTTTATAAATTTAAAAAAAAAAAATTTATAAATAAAAATAATTTTTTAGTAGCTATTGTTCAGAACACTTAAATTTTATATTTTTAAAAATATATTAATAGAATAAAGAAAAAGTTAATAAAAAATTAAGCAGAAATGTAAACATAAGAATTTTAAATAAAAAAAAATAATAGTAAGTTTTATATATAAATTTTTTTATATTTTTTATTTAAACTTTTATTTATTTATATGATACAAAACTAAATAGATTTAAGAGAATTAATTAAATAATTAATTTTGGCTTCATTAATATCATAATTTATTGAATGAAATAAAATTTTAAATTCTTCACGTAAAATATCTCTTGCAATAAATTTCCACTTTTGACTTGCTTCTTTTCTTTTTTCTAAAAATTTCAAAAAATTCTGAGTACTGGTCATTTGATTAACCTTATTGAAAATTTTGGGAATACGAAAAGATTTCGCCGTATTTAAATTTAACATATCAATGCTTTCATTTATTTCATATGTGTTATTCATATTATTTATTAAATTATTTATATAATTGGGAATACTTTCTAATTCCTTCATAATACTTACGTTAATCTCTTCATTATTTTGTGATAAATTTATATCAGTTAATTTAATGTTCTGTGTGTTACTTTCTTTTTTTTTATTTATATCATTTTCATTTTCTTTTTCTAAAATATTATCAATATTTACATTATTTTCATATTTACTATGAGAGATAGTGCTAAGGTTTTTTGCATCCATTTTTAAATAATTATTGTCATCTCTTTTAAATAAAAATGATTTTTCATTATTCATAATATGCGAATAATCAACTGAATTAAGCTTTAATTCACTTTCAAAAATGTTTTTATCATTTTGAAGAACTTTACTGTCACTGTTATTAAAATCTATTTCAATTTTTTTTTCGTCTACTAAATTATTTTTAATATTTATTTTATTATAATATTTGTTTTCTTTGTTTAAAACCATGTTCAATGAAGTATTTAATTTTGATTTATTTTGATCATGATCGGTACTAGCAATATTTCTATCTTTTTCATTATCATAACCATTATCATATATATATCTCTCTGAATCAATAGACATCGACTCCTTATTATGCAAACTCTCTTTTTCAATTATATTACTATTTATTATATTAAAGTTATCTTCCTTATTTTGTATATTCTTTTTTTCATAAGTATCTTTTGGTGCTATGATGCTTTGATTGTTACTTTTTATATCAGAAGAATGTGTGACAAATTTATTAATACATATGTCATCAAATTCATTATAATTTACTTTTTTATTATCATATTCACTGTATAAAACAAAATTTCGTACAGATGAATTTTTAAATTTAAGATGAATATAATTCTTTTCTTCATCAGAGGAATCTGAATCATAATTTAACCAATTTTTATAATTAGCATCAGGAGCTAAATCAATTATAATCTTATTTTTAATTTTAACATATTCTATCTTTTTTTCTTGTGAATTATGTTTATTTGAATAGTCACTATAATAATTATAATCATATTTATCATAATTTTCATTTTCATAATGATTACTAAGTTTTCTATAATTATAATATTTATTAGTGCAGTTTTCATCATCATATTGATCGTTGTGTTTATTATAATATTTACCATCATAATTTTCTTCTTCTGAAATTTCACTATGCTTATTATGATTGAATTGATCATGATATTTATTATAACTTTCTCTTTTATGTTTATGATAATAATAGCCTTTTGTGTAATTTTCATAGTATGTTTTTTCTTCATTATTATAATCTTCCTTCTCCCTTTCATATTCATTTTTTGCTTCGCTTGTTTTTAAAATCCTTTTCTCATTTTGATCTTGACTTAAAAATTCCTCCCTTAAAATAGCTTCCTTTTTTATTTCTTCTTCTAAATAAGTTTGTTCTTTTTTATTTTCCAAATTTTCTTGATTTTTGTTTATTTCTTCACTTTCATAATCTTTTTTATTCTCCATTTTATCTTTTATTTTCAAAGAATTAATATCAGAAGCAGAAGTGTTATGAAATTTATTTAAATTGTTCTCAAGTATTCCCTTTTTTTTTTTCTTTTCATAAAACATATAATCCCTTGAATTTGATAAAGAAGTTTTATCATTATATTTGTATTTTGATTCAAAGCTTAATTTATATCCCTTTTCATTTAACTTCTCTTTTTTATCTTCCTTTTCATCATAATAATGTTGTTCATTCTCATCTATTGTTTTTTTTTTTTTATAATTCGCGTCCAACATCTTATCTTCATATTTTCCTTTTGCCTCATAGGAATAGCCACTCGAGTTATAGGAACGTTTTTTTTTATTGTGATCATACATACTTTGATCTTTATTTTCTAAATCACTTTCTTGGATTTTATAATAATTTTTTTTACTTTTGCTTCTTTTTTTTCTTCTTCTATATTTTTTTTTTTTATACTCATAATATTTTTGTCTCTTTTTATAATCACTATATGAATTGTTTTTATACTTGGATTCTATAGATGAATTAGATTCATATTTTTCATAAGGTATTTTATTTTTTTCTTTTTTATATTCATTTACATATTTTTTATCATAGTTTGTTTTAAAATCAGAATAGTGATCATTTTTTTTATAAATATTATGACCAATTTTATCAAAAGAAGAATTTTCATAATACTCTTCCTTTAAATTAATTTTATCATTAGAAGAAATTGAATATTTATATTTATAATCAACAAAATTGTTCAATTTTCTTTTTTTTAATTCTTTCTTTTTATAATAAATAGAATCTTTATATTGTGATTCTTTGCATTCCTTATCAATATCTTCCTCATATTTGTATTTAGATTTTTTGGAATATCTTCTATCATAGTCATATTTTTTTTTTTTTTTATTTAGTGAGCTTTTTATTGAATTTAGATAACTAGATCTATTAAAATTACTATTTGTGTAAGATCTACTTGATTTATTATAAAAACTAAAATTTGAATCACTTCTTTTATTTCTTAATTTATACTTTTTATCTTTTTTCGTAGTTTTAAAATCCAAAGATATACTATCTTTAAATTCATTTTTTTTTTTTAAACTGAAATTACTGTTAGTACTAATGCTATGACTATATTTATAATTTGATCTTTTTCTTTTATAATTTTTATATGATCTATCTATTTTATTTTTCCCTTTTTCAGTTGTGTAATATCTTTCCTTTGTAATGGAGTAATTTTCTTCTTTATTATTATTATTATCATGATTACTATTAATTTCATTATTGTTATTTATGTAAAATTCATTTTTTTTTATATTTTTACTGCTTCTTGTTGAATTCACTAATTCTTTATCTGTACCATTATATTTTGTCATTTTTAAAACAGAAACTTTTTCTTCCTTATTATCCTCACCATTATCAAGCGCATTTACACTACTTTTATTATTTTCTACATTTATCTCTATGTTTTCTTCTTCCTCTCTTTTTTTTTTATCATCGTTTTTGTTGTTATCTATATTTTTGATTTCAGATGAACTCATAATGTAATAATTGTTTAAAACATGATATATTTATACAGGTATTTAAAGGTAATTTTTTTTTTTTTTTTTTTTTTGGCAATTTAATTTAAATCATATGTATATACTATAAAACCCCTTGTGACATAATACAATTGTTTCAAGCGCTCATTCATTGTTAAGATTCACAAATGTATTTATATAACTATAGTTTTATGTAAGAAAAAATTTATTTCAAAGTATCATATTTATATTTTTATTAGGAGAGTTAAAAAAAAAAAAAAAAAAAAAAAAAAACTTCAATATAAAGCTTTTACTTATTAATTTCATTTATTTATATCGAAGAAAAAAAAATATTAATTTGCTTAACTAGTTTATAAAAGAGAAAAAATTAAATATACCATTCAACTATTCAAAATAAAATTGAACTTTGCATCTTCGGTAAAAAATAAATTACATAATTTATAAATATAAATATATATATATATATATAAGAATATAGCTTTAATAAAATAAAAATAAACTATTCTTTCGGTTTATGAAAATTTACATTTTAAGTAACTTTTTTTAAAAATAATTTTAAAATTGTTATATTTTTATAAAATTTATATTAATGAATAAAAATTTTAAAATTATTTCTACATATATGTTTATATCTTTTTAATAGTTTTTTTTACTATTGAATGAAAACAATTTAATGATTTTAAACTTCTTTTTATTATTTAAACATCTCCATTTTTATAATATATATATATTAAATAAGCTACAATACAAATGTATTTATTTTTATCATATTGTTACTTAAAAATTCTTCTGAAAGCCTCTAAAAGAGGTTAAGAAATAGAAAAAATTTAAAGTTAAACATACATTATAATAGTTTTTTTGAAACCTTAAAAACATACAAATTTATAAAAATTATATATACTTTATTTCATTTTGTCTTCTTTTTTTTTTTTTTTTTTTTTTTTTTTTTTGTATTGATATTTTTGTTAAATACACTGTAATACAAAAAATTTCTTAAAATTTGAATCTTTCACTTTCATTAAAAAATAAATTAAATTTTATTAGAAAAATAAAGTTAATATTCAATTAATAAAAAGGAAGCATTTAGTTAAAATCTGTAACATTTTTTTAAATATATATGACACGCTCATATACCAAATATATAAGAAATAGTACAAAATAGAGTGTTGGTTGATAAATAAAGAATTTTTTTAAATATGAATAAATTTCTATTCATTTGATCTGTTATTTCCTTTTTATTAAACAAAAAAATTAAAAAAAAAAAAAAGAAAAAAAAAAAAAAAAACATGTTTATCTCATTATATATTGAATATATTTAGTAATTATTACTAGATGTAACAATTTTATATTATTGGTTATAAATTTATAAATGATCAATTATTGTGTTTAAAAAAATTGATCTAATTTTTCAAAAAATGAACCATACTCTTAAAAATTAAGAAATTTAATAGAAAATGAATAAAGTAACAAGACGAATTAATGAAAACAAGATACTTTTTTAAAAGATTGATATTAATAAAATCTAAATAAAAGAAAAAATATCATAATAGAGAAAAATTAAATAAGTGAAATATGAACAAATTAATAAAAACTATATCAATAAAAACAAAATATTTTTTTAAAAGATTGATATTAACAAAATCTAAATAAGAAAAAAAATAAGTAATATAATAGAGACAAAGTAAATAAGTAAAATGTGATCAAACTAATAAAAATCATATTAATAAAAAAAAAAAATATATATATATATTAACTAATAAAATAATAAACCATTAGATAATATGAAATAAGATGAAAAATCAATGTACAACAAATGAATTGAGAAAAACTTTCAAAATAAAATATGGAAATTCGAAGTAGCATACATATAAATCATAACAAAGTTCACATATCGACTGATTATTACTATAATAATATATAAAAATTAAGAATTTGAGGAATTATATATTTACACTACAAGTATAATAATATATAGGATAAAAAAAAAAACTAATAGTAAAAAAATGTAAGATAATTTTTTTTTGTAAAAAATTAATATACTGATAAAGAATAATAAGTAAATGTTTTTTTATTCTTTTTATCTGAACAAATATGAAAATCATTTGGGCAAGTAAAATTTACAGAGAAACACGAACCATTACGTTTTTTAAGAGAAATATTAGTAAATTCAAAAAGCAAATTAAATAGTACATTTTGTGGACAAATATCTACATGCTTCTTTTTTTTCCCAGAAATATTTTCATACTCTAATTTTTTAACGTTAACAGAAAATTTTGAATTAAAAGATTCCTCATGCCCACATACTATCCATAATCCAACAGCTGATTTATCTGTAGATCCTTGCATAGAACAAGAGGGTTTTCCATATTTACATGGATACATAGAAATTGAAATAGGATCATTTGAATTTAATACGCTAATACCAAATCCAAACAAAATAATTTGATTTTTTTCTGAACATTCTAGTGTCAATAAACTAGTTCCTGATTTTACTTTTTGTTCAAGGAAAGGTATCATTTCTTCATTGCACATAGCAAATAAATAACTGTATACATTATCACTCATTTTTGAATAGCATTTATCAGAATCTCCATCACATGTATTCATATAAAAATCATCTAACTTTGATAAATCATTAGGTATTGATAAAGAAAATCCTAAAATAAAATTTTGCTTTTCTTCACATTCAAGCACCACTAATCCTGTACCACTTTCATAAACTATTTTAGACTTCATTAATTCATCTTTAAGATTATATTGTTTGATTTCATCATTTGTTACTTCTCTTATATTAATAGGAACATTCACTGAAATATAAAAATTCAACGCTTCATCATAAACTTTAGATAAACGAATAGGCAATATTCTTGATAATGGCTCATATTCCCCTTTAATAGGCATTGGGTTATCCTTTATGCTTTTTGCCCACTTTTCAAAATTTTTAGGATTATTAGGATCGAAAATTGTTGTACCTCCAATTATTACAGTTTCCTTCTCCATACTAGAATTAGAAGAAGCATTTTTATTGGATTCATTAGAATCAGTACTAGCAGATGCATTTGCTTTAAATAAACCAAAGCCAGCAGAAGCATTTACAGACACAGATAATCCATTTTCACTCAATGACTTATATTCATTTTTTGAGATTTTTACTTGTTGTGTTATTTTTCCTCCCAAATGTATAAGAGTCGAAACATGCGTTCCAAAATTTTTGAAAAAATACATCCAAGAATAAACACTTTTACCACACTTTTCTGTTTTTCTATTATCTCTAAATTCTTCAGCACTGCAGTAAGTTCCATCTTGTTCCAATGAATTAAAATAAGAGGGAAGTAAAGAAATTGCTCTTACAAATTGATCAGTGAGTTTCCATTGAGAATATTGTGATAAAGATGCCATATATTTAAAGCAGTAGCTTTTTAACATAAAAATTCTAAATTTCTTTTTTGAAATAGTATTAGATACACTTTTATAACCCGTAGATGCTGAAAAGGATCCGAACAATCCATAAGAAGCACCTATTTTTGCGTCAACTGAAAGTTCCTTTGTATATTCACTCATTGAACTCACTTCACTTTCATTTTCAGATCTATTACAGGATATCTCATTTCTTACATAAGAGCCATTTGGATTTATATTCAAATAGCCATCCGGATAATCTATATCTGATTTAGGGTATGTCAATTTTATTATTGAATCTCTATATCCTGGATCTACTTTTAAAAATGGATCCCCTATTGGATTTCCAAAAATAAAATCATAACCTACTCCTAAGTATTCTGTCCCTTGTATAACTATTGTATTCATGCCATTTTTTTGTTTTCTTTTGTATTTATTATATAAGTCTTTTTCCTCATCTACACCATCAAATACAACTACTGTATGATGTTCGTCATCATATACATTTTCCTCGTGTGTTTCTGTTGAATATTTTTTTACATTTTGGATATCATCAATATCCCTCATTAATTTTACAAAATTTTTAATTTTTCCATTTATGCATTTTTTTGCGCTATGGTTGCATCCACTTTTTAAATTTACTTTTTTTTTATTTATTTCATAGTCCTTTTCTGCATTAATGTCATTGTTATAACTTGTTATTTCATTAAGATTGATACCTTGAATCTCATTATATATTTTATTACTATTAGAGCTTTTTTTTGAATTTCTTCCTTTTTTTCTTTTTTTTTTTTTTTTAATGTTACTATTAACATTATCTTTTATATTTTTTTGAATGTTAAATTCTTGAAGTATATATTCACTCTGCAAAAAAGATATGATTTCTCTGTTTTTTTTTTGTAGTTTTTCAATTTGGTGTATATTATTTTCTCCCTTATTTATAACAAAACTATGCGAAAAAGAAAAAAAACTATATCTTACATATATGTGATCATATAAAGACTCATAAACAACATTTATAATGAATACAAAAATAAGAATAAATATAATCCAAGCCTTTTGATAAGCCATAATTTATAATAAAATATATAATTAGTTTATATATAGCTTTTAATATATGAGAGTATATTTTTTTAATATAGCTTCTGTATCATTTATCTAAATATTTGAAAACCATTTAAACTTAAAATTAGTTCCTCAAAAGAAAAATAAAATATATAAAGAAAATAATTTATATAACAAAAATATATTTATGAAATTCTTATGTTATTTATTAAATAAAAATAAAAAAAGACAATATATATAAATAACGTGTCTATATATCATAAAAAAAATTGCATTTGTACAAATCATTTAATTTAAAAAAACAAATTTAGTATAAATATAGAATATATTCATATATTTAATGCAACCTATTTTTATTTTTTATTATTAATTTCCATCAAAAATATATAAAAATTAAAATTTAATTAAAATATTTCATAATTTTTTTTTTTTTTTTTACTCAAGAACAAATATTCAGAATAAATATTTTAAAAAGGTGTATATTTTTGAAAAAAAAGGTAAATTATTATACCTGTATTACACAAATAAATAAACATCATAAAATAAAAAAAAAAAAAAAAAATAACAACAACAAGGAATTAAAAATAATGGTATGAACATGTTAATAAAAAAAAAAAAAAAAAAAAAAGTTATCTATAAAATTACAGCTAATTACATTAATTCATGGTTTAAAAATACATGTATTATTGCCACATTTCTTCTATATAACGTCCCAATTTTTTTAATTTTTTTGTAATTTTCTTATCATTATGTTTATTATATAAGGGTAAATTATTAATTGTTTTTTTTACATCTTTACTCATGTCATTATTCCCACAAACATATATATATGCTCCTTTTTGTATTAAATTCCATACAAGTTCCTTTTTTTCAAGAATTATATCTTGGACATATATTTTTTTCTCTTGATCTCTAGAAAATGCAAAGTATACTTCATCAATGTACTTTTTTTCCTTTGCATCTAAAATTTCCTTTTCATATAGAAAATCTACTTCTTTCTTTCTACATCCATAAAACAGTATTCTTTTTCCTCTTCTCACTAACCCATTTTGTGTAAACATTTGATCAAAATGTTTAAATTCTGTTATGAAAGCTTTAAATGGAGCAATTCCAGTTCCAGTAGCAATCATAATTATATTAGAGGATTCCATATTATCTGGTAGAATAAATTTTGATGGTTTCAAGTTAAACATGATTGTATCATGAATATTTAATTCTTCTGTTAAATAAAAAGAACATGATCCCTTAAACCACCTTCGACCACAAAGTTCTCTTAATTTCTGTTCACTAATTTTTGGTAGCATATCATTTTTTTTTAAATTTTTTAATGTTCTTCGAAGAGAATGAATAGGATATTGTTTTTTTTTAATAGTTAAAGATATTGTATTTTCAGATTCTTTGGGTGAAGAAGAAATAGTATAATTTTTAGGATTATTTTTTGGAATTAATTGCAAAAATGGTGAAATTTCAAATTGAGATGATGACATATATATATCTACAAATTCTATTAAAGTCATATCACTTTCTTTGCAAATATTAAAGAATGTATTTCTTTGATTACTAGATAAAATAAAATTAAACATTTTTAATTCTTCTTTATCTTTTATAAAACACTTAAATTTTTTCAAAACATTCACTCTTGGAATAGTCGTTAAATCACAATAATATTCTAATGCTTTTTCAACAGTGCATGGTGTTGGAAAAGGTATTCGAATTGAATTATCATTCATATTTTTCAATAATTCCTTTTCATTACCATTTGAATTTTTATTTTGAGATATATTATCTTGGCATAAAAATGAATAATTTTTTGAGTATTTATTTTTATCTATAAATATAAATTTTTTATTCTTGTCTTTATCATTTATATTTAATCGTTTCAGCCACCATGAAACCACATGTTTTGGATTTTTTGGTAAAATTACTAAAGTATCGGCTGCTTTATATAAAATGTCCTTGACTCCAATAATTAAGTGATTCACTTTCTCTCCATCAGAAGAATGATCTACATTTTTTAGTAAATTCACATTAGATATAACTTTACCTATATGATGATGGAAGTAAAATTTTCCTGTTATATCTGTATTAGAATATAACACGTTTTTATGTTCTTTTCTATTTTTTGATTCTTCAAGTGCTTCACAATTTTTATTATCACTTTCTTCAATTAAATTAGAGATATATGTATTATGAGCACTTTTTTTATCCATTTCTTCATTTTCTTCATATTCAATATCCAATGTTATTTCTGGTAAATCCCTCCAATCCACTAATTCAATATTATCTTCGTTAATTGTTTTTAGAGGGACATCTTGTATATTTAGTATTCTCGGAAGCTCTTTAAAAAATTTCTTTTTCCATATTTCAAAATCATGATATAAATTATCATCATCGTCACCAAAAATAGTTTCACTAATTTTTTCTGCTTTAAATTTTAAAAGATAATTATCTAATTTTTTCGCTACTTTATTAAAATGGGAATACTGCCTGCTACCCAAACCCATAATAGAATATTTTGTATTTCTAAAATAAGTATTATCGTTATTTAAGCTTTTTAACCATTTAAAAAATTCTATTGCATTATCCGTTGGTTCTCCATCTCCATAAGTCGAAACGATAAATACTCGGATACCAAAATTTTTTATTTCTTCTTTATTAAAAAATTCTAAATCAATTATCTCAGCCTGTATATTGAATATATCATTTAAATTATACTTCAATTCTTTTGCAAAGTCCGCTGAGGTTCCTCCTTGGCTCCCAAAATATATTTTTACATTATTTTTTATATAAGTATTTTTAAAAGTTTGATTGTAAATAAAATAACTCTTTAATTTATTATATAAATTTTTTAATAGATAAAAATATTGCAATTTAAAGAATAGAAATGAGCTTAGTAGTAAAAAGACAGAATACTGAAAAACTTTATTCCAGCTTTTATTCATTTTTTTCAAATTATTCTAAAAAAAATACAAAAATATTTTACATACTTAAAAATAGTTTTCTTCATATTTTTACCTTTATGCTATCATTTTTTTTTTTTTTTTTTTATTAATTAGAAATGTATTTTATATAAATTAAAACAAAGTACTCACTTATTTATAATATAATTATTTAATGCAATATATTTATTTTTCTTTTTTATAAAACTCTTCATACATAGAAAACTTAAACGCATTTTTTATTTTATTATTTTTTATATTATTCTTTTTTATTTTATTCTTTTATAAAAAATAAAGTAACCATTGTCTTATATAAGAGCTAGTAAATTAAAAAGACATAAAAAATTAATTTAAATGTTAATATTATACATACAAATGATATAATATCAAATAAAATAAAATGTAGATATTTTCCTTTATCCAACACTTCAATAATTTAATAAAAATAAGAGAAAAAATTACAATTAAAACAGCAATATAACACAATATTTACTTATAAATCTGATAAAAATATAATAATTAAGAAAATGTTGTAAATTAAAAATTTAAAAATTAAAATAAAATTGTAAATTTTTTAATGTAGTATGTATAATTATTTATTTTTAATATTATGTAATTATAAAAATATAATAAGTGACAAAAGAATGAATAAATAAAATCAAATATAATAAAATAATATGACTTAAAATGAAAAAAGAGAATTATCATTAAAATTTAATTAAATATAATAAAAAAAAAAAGAAAAAAAAATCATATAATATTTGTATATATAATTAGGAAAAAACAAAAATTATTTCCAATTTATTTTTTTAGTAATTTTTTTTTTTTTTAGTCTCTCAAAAATGAATATTATACTTTTATGATTATTATTTATTTTGAAAATATGATTTTTCTCATATTTAGGTTAATTAAGAACCATATATAATTTTTAATTTAATAATTTTTTTTTTGGAACATATTTTTTTATAATTTTTTTAGTTGTAAAAAGGTAGCTAATATTTGCTCATAATAATTTTTCTTTTTTTCTAGCATGACAAGAAAAAAAATAAAAAAAAAATTAGCATTGTTGCAAAAAACTAAGTATATATATTTGTCTTTTAATTATGTAATTTTTTCTTAACCTTCCAATTTTTCTTTTTGAAAATCCGAAAAAATTTTTGTGCGGGATTAATATATTAAATTTAACAAAAAAAAATTTTCATTTTTTTTAAGGTAATATATTAAGATATATTCATTCTTTTTTATTTATTAATATGTGCTTTAACACAAAATTGCTAGATTTAAAATACAAATATATGAAGACTAGGTTAAAGATGTTACCAAATAGCGAAAATGATGATAAAATAGCAAGAAAATTAAATAAAAATTTAAATATGAGAAGCTTAATATATGTATTAAAGGCTGTAATAATTATAAAACAAAAGAGAAGATTAAAAAGGTATACTAGTTTAGATAGACATATACCTTTTTTAAGAAAAAATAGTTTAAATAAAACTCATATAAATGGAAGAAAAATACTAGAAAATAGATTATTGGCAATAGGTTGCGAACTCATTCAAGTATCTGGAGATGGAAATTGTTTATTTAGATCAATATCATGTAATTTGTTTGAAAAACAAAAATATCATATGTATGTTAGAAAAAGATGTGTAGAATATATGCTGAATTTTAAAGATGAATATTCTATTTATTTTGAAGATAACGCATTCTATGAATATATAAAAAATATGTCAAAAAATGGATATTGGGGAGACGAATTATGCATAAAAGCAACAGCAGATGCATTTAATTGTATTGTTTATATAATAACTTCAACTTCAGAAAATTGGTGCTTAAAATATGAATCCAAATATAAAAATAATTTAAAAAAATATGTTTTCTTGGCTTATTCAAGTCCTACACATTATGACTATTTTAGATTGATTAAAAAATAACATTTGTTATTTTTATTAATACTTAAAAATATGCATATATATAATTTTTTATTCTAGCTTTTTATCTGTGATACTAAACATATATATATATATATATATATATATATATATATATATATATATATATCCTAATTCATATTTCCTTAATTCGTTACGTTATTTTTAGATATTTTATTTTCTAGCCATTTTTATTTGATTCGTATTTTTTTTTTTTAACTATTTCTAAATTTTTTTATTTTTCAACTTTTTCTTTTTTTTTTTTTTTTTTGTAATTATTTTAAACTATATTTGATTTGCTATATTTTTTAATTAAATTTATATAAACATCTTTCTTAATTTTTTTATTTTCATTAATATCGATTCGTCAAAATTTTAATTTTATAATTTTTGTAAATATATATTAAGGCTAATTTGAAAAAAAATGTATGTTTAGAGAATTTAATTTTTCCAAATATATACATATATGTTATCTTTATTTTTATATTTTTTTTTTTTTTTAATGACTCATATCACATCAAAAATATTAATCATGATTTTTTTTTAAAATCTATATATGCTTCTGTTCTTTTACGTATATATATAAACAGTATTAAATACTTATAAAAAATTCAAGGAAGATATATTGTTCATTTTATAATATAAATTTTTTATTTTTTTTTTTGCTAATTTAAAAAAAATATATTTTTTAAAAAGAAACTTAGAAAAATTTTCGAATTTTTGAATGTTTTTTTTTAAATTTTATAAGAAATAATTTGTAAAAAAAATTATAAAAAATAATAAAGATATAAGTAAAAATTTAAATAATAATATACATTTTGAAAATATTCAAAAATTTTTAAACTTTTTCAAGAATAAACTATATGGAAGTTAACAAAAAAAAATATGTACCCATAGTTCAAATGGAATCAAAATAATTATTTGGTTAAAAATTTGAAGTTGAATTTTTATAAATTCTAACTTTAATATATGTGAATAATGTACGTTTTATTTTTTAAAAGGAGACTCTAATTATATAAAAATTGCAAAAGTCATATAAGTAGTAATATACATAAATTTTTATTTTTCAATTTTTTTGTTTTAAGCCATGATAGCTAGTAACGATATATCTAACAAACACAAAATAGAAATAACAAAATTAACAAAGGATGAAATGTCTTTTATATTATATAATAGTAATTCTGGTTTAGCAAATGCATTAAGAAGAATTATATTATCAGAAATTCCAACATTAGCCATTGATGTTGTTAATGTTTATGAAAATACTAGTCCATTTCATGATGAATATTTAGCTCATAGATTAGGTTTAATACCAATTGATAGCAGAAATGTAAACAATTATGAATTTAGAGAAAAATGCAAATGTAAAGAGACTTGTTCTAAATGTACTATTCAATATGTAATTGAAGTAAAATGTAACAATGCAAATAAAATTGATATATCTCATTATGATATTGAATCATTAGACCATGAGCCAAATATTCCTATGCCTATACCACATGGTAAAAAAAATACAAAAAGGGAAAACGCCATTCCAATTGTAACATTATCAAAAAATCAAACACTACATATGAAATTAATTGCTACAAAAGGAATAGGGAAAATGCATGCGAAATGGATTCCTGCTAATGTATCTTATAGAATTGATCATAAAATAAAAATTAAACATCACTTAATTGATAAATTACCTCAAAGTCATAAATTAATGTTAGCTAATAATCTAAATAAAGATTGCTATGTTTTAAAAAACATTGATGAAGATAGGGATGTGCAATTAAAGTTAAATGAAAACATGTCTGTTGTTATGGCAGAAAATTGTATTGAAATTTTGAATGAATTAGGTTATAAAGATGTAATAAAAATAATTTATGATGACACAAAATTTCATTTTCATATAGAATCTGTTGGTTCGTTACCTCCCGAGCAAATCGTAGAAATGGCTTTAGAAGTTTTAGAAAATAAATTAAAAAATTTAGAACCACAAATAAAATCATCCTTCTATTCCATCGATGAAGTAGCTAAACAGTTAAAAGAACAGGGAGTTTCTTTATACGGAATTCAACTAGATTTAGAATAATTTACACATAAATAATTAATGTTAATACATCTTAAAATTAAAATAGAAAAAAAAAAAAGAGATAAAAATCAAATATTATAAACAATTTAAAGAATTTTATGAAATATATAAATTTTTAATATTTATGAAATCATTAAATATTTGTTATTGTTATATATGTATTTTTTTAAAATTTTCTCAAAAATATATTATTTACAAAAATTCAAAGGTTTATATACATATATTTTTTTTTTTTTTTTTTTTTTTTTTTTTTTTGATGTTGTGATAGGTATAATTTGTAAACTTTTTATTCTTCCATTTCTTATTCTATTTTTTTTTTTTTCTTGGAAATTATTTTTTTTTTTCTTGGAAATTATTTTTTTTTTTTTCTTGGAAATTATATTTTTTTTTCTTAGTTTCCTATATATATATTTATTATTTAAACTAATAAAAAGAAAACTTAAAAATTATAAAATATATAAAAAAAGAAAAAATATATAAAGTTGTTCAGAAAAAAAATTATGAAATTAGAAATTTATAAATATATTTATTTGTATATTTTCCAACTTAAAATTTGTTAAGAGCTGTATTAATAAGGAAAAATTTAAAATATATATTCATATAAGGTAAAATCAAAAATAAAAAAATAGAAAAATCTAAATTTTTTTTTATGACACAGTTATTTTTAGATGGTAAATGGTAATAATAATTTAGTTATGTATTAAAAAGGGAAGAAAAAAATTTTATTTCCATAGTAAATTAATTTATTAATTATATTTTATTATTGTTTCTTTAAATAATGTTGTTAAAATGAAATATATTTTGTATCTTTATCCTATCTTTTATAAAAATTATTTTTGCGAATTTTTTTTTTAACATATATAAATAATTAAAAAGTGTATTCTTTGTTTTTCAATAAATATAATTTAAAAAAAATAATATATTAAATCTTTAAAAGAAAATATTAATTATGAGTAATCAAAAATATAAATGTAAAATTAATAATTTAAAAAATATAAAATAAAATAAGAAAATCAAAGTGTATGAGAATTGTTCTTAAAAATAAGCATTAAACTCATTTTAAATGAAAAAAAAAAAAAAAAAAAAGAAAAAAGTTGCATATAGAAATATATTTTTACAAGAAATTTATTTGTTATTTTTTTTTTTTTTTAATTAAAATGAATTTTCTTAATAAATGTTTTATATTTTTCCTTTTTATTAAGTTTTTGAAATCTATTAAATTATCGTTTATTTCAAGTAATACTAAGGTATTATATTAGAATATTTTTTTTTTTATTTTAATTTTCGTGTTATTTATATATTATTTATTTTTTTTTTTTTAATAAATTTTAGTTAATTCCGCACAAATGTGTAAGTAAAAATGATGCTATAAACTTATTAAATGACAAAAAGGAAAACTCTTATTATTGTGGAGAAAATAAAGTGGCTCTAATAACAGGTGCAGGAAGAGGGATAGGAAGAAGTATAGCAAAGACTTTAGCCAAATCAGTTTCTCATGTTTTGTGTATAAGCAGAACACAAGTATATAATCGCAAATAAAAATATATAAATATATATTAACTTAGAATGTGTAAGAATAAAATTTATTTAATTTTATTTTTTATTTGTTAGAAATCATGTGATAGTGTTGTTGACGAATTAAAATCATTAGGATATAAATCTGCCGGTTATGCAGCTGATGTATCTAATAAAGAAGAAATTACAGATTTAGTAAATAAATTATTAATGGACAACAAAAAAATAGATATATTAGTTAATAATGCTGGTATAACAAGGGATAACTTATTTATGAGGATGAAAAATGATGAATGGGAAGATGTCATAAAAACAAATTTGAATTCTTTATTTTATGTAACTCAACCAATATCAAAAAGAATGATTTCTAACAGATATGGAAGAATTATTAATATATCTAGCATTGTGGGATTAACTGGAAACTTTGGACAAGCCAATTATTCTGCCTCTAAAGCAGGTGTAATTGGTTTTACAAAAACATTAGCTAAAGAACTAGCATCCAGAAATATAACAGTTAATGCAATAGCACCAGGATTTATATCAAGTGACATGACTGATAAAATTAATGATCAAATAAAGGTAATATAAGAAATAGTATATATAAAAATTGTTCTTCATTCAGTAAAATTATTATATATGATTTATATTTAATTCTTCAATGCCATACTTGATATATTTTTATTTTATATAATTTTTTTTATTCCAGAAAGACATAATTTCAAATATCCCAGCTGGACGAATGGGAACCCCAGAAGAGGTAATATATAAAAAGGAACTTTCAAAAATAAAGACATTATTATAATATAAATTATACTTATAAAAAATTTTTTTTTTCTTTAACTGTTCATGCAAATTTATTTATTTATTTTTTTTTTTTTTTTTAACATAGGTAGCTAATATGGTAGGTTATTTAGCTTCTGAAATAGCTGGATATATTAACGGAAGAGTTTTCGTTATTGATGGTGGATTAGCTCCTTAAAATTTATTCATTTATTGTAATAAATATAAATTTTTTCTATAATATTTTTAATTGTGTTTTTTTTTTTTTTTTTTTTTTTTCTTTTTTTATTATAATTTTGAATTATAAATTATACATATAATAGTTTTATAATTTTATTTATTCAAAAAGCTTAACATTTTCTCTTGAAAAGAAAAACAAAAAAATATTAATCTTTATATATTTATTGTATGTAGTTTTTCTTTATTTCTCATAAATTAAAATATTAATATTAATTTAAAATTTAAAAAAAAGAAATAGAAATTAAAATAAATGTTATTTTTTAATTTATCAGTCATGTCAACTATTTTGAAATATATTGTATAAAATGACTGAGAATTTATATACTACATTTTTTACTATTATTAATATTAATAACTAAAACCTAATACAAATATAAAGTTACATATAGATATGTATTATCTTTAAAAAATATAACTGTTAGTTTCGTTTTTAAATATTTTTTAATTAATTTCCCTTACTGTTTGTAGAATTATTTATTTATTTATTTTTTTTTTTTTTTTTTGTATTTTATTTTCAATGCTTTTTTTTTTTAATTATCAATTATTTTCTTCTATTATTTTTTTAAATTTTTATATAATACCAAGTTTTATTTTATAATATATTCTACATGAATTTTTTATATGAATTTTTTGTTGTTTTATTTTTCATATGTTTGTTATTCTTATTATTTTAACTTTTCCTCAAATGTATTTTTTTTAATGTGTATTGTGGTATTATTTATACTATTTCAAAAATTATAGCTTTTATAATTATAATAAATAAATAAAATGGTTAATGTATTTTATTCTTAAAATACACACATATATATATATATTATTCCATAATATGACTATGTCAACTTTTTTTTTTCAAATGTTCATATGTATGTTATTTTTATTTAAAAGAGTCATAATTTCGTTATTCTAAGCTATATATGATATTTTTATTTTTATTTATTTGGAAAATTTATTACTAAATAAAAAAAAAAATACATGAAAAATACCTAATTTGTAAAATTATCTTTAATCATGGTAAGAAAATATTTTTTATAGTTTTGGTAGATAATACAATTCTTTGTATAATTGAAAATATTTTAAAAATCAATAATTTTTATAGCACCTTTTTTTTTTTTTTTTTTTTTTTTTTTTTTTTTTTAA